GAGGGAGTCAGAATTAATACTAAAATTTAGAAAACTATTCAGTGAAATAATAACAGAAAATTACCCAAATCTAGGGAATAATTTGGAATTTCAGGTACAGGAGATATCTAGAATCCCAAATAGACATGCACAGAAAAGAAGCAGTACATGTAATATTATAGTTAAAATCCCAAGAGCTCAGAATAAAGACTATCGAAAGCTGCAAGAAAGAAGTAGCAGGTTACTTACAGAAGCCAATGTATTATTTAAACAGCACACTTCTCAGCAGAAACACAGAAGGACAGGATAACAGAGAATGATGTATTTTAAGCACAGAAACAAAGTAACTCCCAAACAAGGTTACTATATCGAGAAAGGTTACCCTTTAAAGTCGAGGAATAAACAAAGACCTTCCAAGATAATCATAAACTAAAACAGTGCATGACCACTAAACCAGCATTGCAGAAGATACTTGAAAGAATCCTACACTAAGATAAGAAACAAAGATATACACAATCAGGAGAGCTTGGGAAAGAACAAATATCACTAGAAGAATAAATAAATGAGAATTAGGAAATAAGCAGACATTATTAACTAAGCAAACTAGCAAACTTCCAAGATGAATAAAGTAGAAAGAAAAGAGCGGATTACTCAAAATGACCAGAAAAAAAAAATAACATGACTTACTACATAGATTTTAATAGTAACCCTACATGTAATTGGTCTTAACTCTCCAACTAAAAGACTCAGGCTGGCTGATTAGATTACAAACAAGACCCAACTATTTACTGTCTACAGGAAACTCATCTCATTATCAAAGACATTGAAATACTGAGTGTGAAAGCATGGAAAATTATATTCCAAGGAAATGGAATCTGAATGCAAGTCTGAGTGGCTACACTCATATATGGCAAATCAAACTTCAAGCCAAATAATTTAAAAGCTATAAAAAGTCACCACATATTAAAAATGGAAAAAAGTCCATCAAGAAGATATGAAGATTGTAAATATGTATGCCCTGAATGTTGGTGTACCCAATTTCATAAAATAAACACTAGCGGAATATAATAGGACAGATTAGGCCAGATACAATAACAGTGAATGCCTTCAATACCCCATTCTCCTCAATAAGTAGATTGTTCTGACAAAAGACCAACAACAACATTTCAGAGTTAAACTTACCATAAGTTAAATGGACTTAGCATACATCTTCATAATATTCCATACATCAACTGTGGAGGACACATTCTTCTCAGCAGTTCATGAAACATTTTTCAAAAGAGATTACTTGTAGGCCATAAAGCATATTACTATATACATCTTAAAATAATTTCTTGTATCTTATCAAACAATATTGGAATAAAAATTAAAATTAACAACAAGAAAACTATGAAAATATATAAACACTGAGAGACTGAACCACACACTTGAAACTTATTACTGAGTCATTACAGAAATCAGGAGATAAATTTAAAAATTCCTAGAATAAAATGAAAATACAAATTACTAGAGCCTGTGGGATACAATAAAGACAATTATAAGAAGGAAGTTTATAGCTATGAGTGCTAGATTTTTTTAAAAATCAGAGAAATATTAAATAAATAACCTAATTGTGCACTCAAGGTCTTAAAAAAGCAAGAATAACCAAGTCCAAAATTAGTAGAAGGAAAAAATTAATGAATATCAGGAGCTGAAAATAATAGAGACTAAAAGAAAAATGCAAATAATTGGTTCTTTGGAAAGATATTTAAGACTGAGAAACCCTTAGCCAAGCTAAGAGAGAGATAGCGAGAGAGAGAGAGAGAGAGAGAGATGACTCATATCAATAAAATTAGAGACAAAAAATAAAAAGGAGAATTTTATAATAGATACACTAAAATCCAGAAGATCATTGGGGAATACTTTGAAAATTTATATTCTAATAAATTGCAAAAATCTATAAGAAATTGCTAAATTTCTGGAAACATATTACAAACCAAAATTAAAAGAAAAGAAAGACTATTTAATAACCCTGAACAAAACAATAGTAAATAATGAGATGATGCAAAAGCCTGGAATTGCTGAATCTAACAACCTTTATAGAAGAACACCAATGGTCATCCAACTACTCCCAGAAGTAGGAAAGGGAGAAACACTTCCAAATTGATTCTGGAAAGTCAGTATTACCTTCATACTCAAAACAGATAAGGACACACCAAATGAGAAAACTATGGATCAATTTCCTTCATGAACATAGACACAAAAATCTTTGATAAAAGACTTGCAAGCATAATTCAACAACACATTAAAAGGATTAAACACCATGATGAAGTTGGCTTCATTTGTGGAATGCAAGATTGGTTCAACAAATGCAAATCAATAAATGTAAAACAGTTCATAAATAGAATCAGGAACAAAAATCACATGATCACTTCAATAGATGCATAAAAATTCCTCAACAAATTCAACATCCCTTCATGATGAAGGTCCTGTATAAACTAGGAATAGAAGGATCATACCACAACATAATAAAGTCAGTATGTGCCAAGGCTACACCATCATTATACTGAGTGGTAAAAAACTGAAAGCTTTTCCTCAAAGTCAGGAGTTAAACAAGTGTGTCCACTGTCACCACTCATTCAATACTGCGCTTGACATCTTAGAGCACTCAGGCAACAGAAAGAAAGAAAAGTGATGCAAGCAGAAGAGTAATTAAAATTACCCATATTTTCAGATTATATTTTCTTATACTTAAAATCCCCTAAGGTCTGCACCAGAAAACTCTTAGATCCTCTAAGTCTTTTCAGAAAAATAGCACAATAAAAAATCAACATACAAAAATAAATAGCTTTTCTATATACATACTGAGAAGTAAACGAGGAAAACAATCCTATTCCCAATAGCCTCAAAAACAAAAATACCTACGAATAAACCTAACCAAGGAAGTGAAAGACCTAAATAATGAAACATACTCTATTGTAAGATCAATATGAAGGTTGTAAATATGTATGCCCTGAATGTTGGTGTTGAGCTTTCCATCTCTAATATATGCATTAGTTTCTTTTTCAAAATGCTAATGAAACATGAATAAGTTACATTTTTTCCTGAAAGAGGATGCCTGCCAAGCCCTAGCAGAGGACCTGAAATGTGATCAACAGCCTATTTTGGTTTATTTGTCATGACCATGGTTACTTGGCACAATGAGTAGATCCATTGGTTTCCAGGCTCAGTTATCTATGTCCGCTGGGAGAACAAGGGCTTCACACATCTTTCCCTCATTTTCACTTTCTTTTTCACTCAGTACTGTGCATTCAAGATTTAATGAGGCTAAAATTGCTGCATGGCATTTTGGTATGTATCCCCCATATTTTAATTCATTCCTGCAATGATGGATATCCAGGCTGCCTTCTGCTCTGCAGTGGTGCGACTTGCACTATGGGATCATCCATCCTGCAGTGAACATCTACCTCACAGGGAGGCATCACTAATCCCGAGTTACGAGCTTTTGCTCAAGTGGTTCTGTGGGATCCCTCAACATAGCGTATCTAACTTCTGCAAGTATTGCAATTGCTTTTAGGAGTTGCTTCTGACTCAAGACCGCGATGCACACCCTTACCTCTGCAATCTTACAAATACTTGTCATTGTGCTGGATTCTCATTTTTGCTAACACGAGCTTTTATTTTCACTATTGATCTCACAGATTTCTGCTTAGTTGGAGGACAGATTTTCATCTTTTTACCTATGAAGGCTTCTTATTCAGTGAATTGCTTAATCTGGCTCAATTTTGCATTGGTTTCGTTGTCTTTCCTTTTCGTTTTTCTCTTTGGTGGTACTAGAAGGTTGAACTCAAGGCCTTGAGCTGTGGTTATGCAGGCACTGCACCATTTGAGACACTCCATCAGCCCTTTAGCTTTGATTTATTTTTGGGGATAGGTTGCTTTATGCTTAAGTGGGCCTGGACCACAATCTTCCTATTTGTGTTGCCCCAAATAGCTGGGATGACAGGTGTGTACTACTATGGCCAGTCATTGGTTGAGATGGGGTTTCATGAGCTTTTTGCTCAGACTGGCCTCAGACTATGATCCCCCCCATCTCCACCTCTTGAGAAGCAAGGATTATAGGTTTGAGTCATCACATCTTGAGGCACTGTGCCCAGCACATTGTTTTTCTTCACCGAGCTCCTTGGTTGCAGAAATTGCACCATCTCCTCCGCAGATAGCTGTCTGATAGTATCTCTGAGGAGTACTGTGTTAAACATAAATCTTTAATTTTGGTAGGGCCAAAATCATCAAACTTGCCTTGGTTTGTAATTTCTGAAGTTAAAGATCATCCTTGACATCCAAGATACAAAAGTGTATTTTTTCCATTCGCTATACTATTGTTATTTGTAAGTCACCTGAATAGACATGGTGGGTCACTATCTTTATTAAAATGGCCATCAGCAAACTTTTCCTGAAAAGTGTCAGAAAGGAAACATTTTAGATTTTGGGGAAATAACAGTTTCTGTCACTACTACTCCACCCTGCTGTGGTAACACCAGAGCAGCTATTACAAAAAGGCCAATGAAAATGATGCTTTGAAAATCAGGTCAAAGTTTAGACTTGGAATAAGGGCCATAGTTTGAATGTGAACCTTTTGTTAAATACTCTTTGCCATTTTATGAGTGGTACCAATATATTTATAAAGCAAGTTCCTGTATACATTCAGAGTTTTTATACGTCACTGTAAGCCATTTGCTTACAAAAAGCCATGTGCCTCTTCCTTGCACTTTTCATCTGCCCACCCATTCCCTTCACCCACTTTCTGTTTCCTTTGGTTCAAACAGTATTTCCTCAAGACCTTCTCTTACTTGCACAGACTTTTTTCTTAGACACTTTTATGTCGTGCCCTGTGTTCTTTTCATCTGAGTCACTTAGTCCAATATGTAATTACACAGTTGTCTCTGTGGCAATTTGATATCCTTCTCTCCAACTAAGTTGTTAATTCCCTGAGAGCAGGTGCTCTGTCTATTTTAATTCATCATTTCATTTCCAGTGTCTGTGAGAGGGCCTGCCCAGTAGGATTCACTCAATAGATACTTGTGGAAAGAAGGAATTGGTGTCAAAAAAGACTGAGAAAACTGGGCCAATTTTACGGCTGAAGGAAGTTTCAGGTAATTCCTACTGCATGTTTGAGGTTACTTTGGGGTTTTTATAGGTATCTGATAATAAAATCTTCTTTTCTCCCTTCAACACTTTTGGTTCCCTGGTTTCTTGATCCCTGCTACAATTTGATTTCTTTTATATCTTTGCATTAAAGAGGAGCTTGGTCTTCTTTTTAAAAACCAAGAAGACTTTTCCAAACATACCTGAAATTATAGTTGCATGGCTTTGTTCAGGAACAAAATGTCACGAGTTGTGTGACACTAGACAAAAACATTCTTCGTCAAAAGTTTATTTGATATTGGAGAATTTTGAGTTTTAAAGGCAGCATGGTCAAGAGAAAATGAATTATTTCACATGTTAAAACTCTGAGGAAGGCTGTTTGGTGACAAGGACTGAGTAATTCCTGAAGTATTTGCCGTCAGCTTCCACAGACATTAGGGTACCTAATCTCACAAGTGAGAACGTGTTGATTGTCAGCTGTTTTTAGATGGCGCCTAACATGTGAAGAGAAGGAAACAGACACTGCCTCTCTCAAACTAACTTTTTTAAAATCCAGAAACAATACCACACCCAACATTGGTAGCTGTTTTCCAGCAATGTTTTCATGAAAACTCTTGAGTCATTCTTATTTTACTGTTGTTTGCATCAACCAGTTAGCCGGACATCTCAAATTATACTGCTATTTCAGCTATGAATCTGTTAAAGCTTTTTGAGAAATGCAACCTAGATACTTTGTTTTTTTTTTTCTCCTACTTTTGGACTACCTTTTTGTTTTTGGTGACACTGGCAAGCCTTCTACCAATACAGCCATGCCTCCAGCCTTTCTTTGTTCTAGTTATTTTTTCAGATAGAGTCTCATGCTTTTTTTTGCCCAAGGTCACAATCCTCTTATTGATGCCTCCTGTGTAGCTGGGATCACAGACACAGGCCATCACATCCACCATTTTCATTGAGATGGGATCCCATTTTAATGCTAAGGCTGCCTTCAAAGTGCAATCCTCCTGATATCCCTCTCCCAAGTAACTGGGAGTTCAGACAGTACCATGCCTGGCTGGATTCTTAAATATAAGACACACACTGCTCTCTACCCATCTGTTTACATTTGTATCTTCTTAGTTAACTATCTGATCAAGAGATCATGACTATAATATAAAACCCCACTCCATCAAAAATTTTTTAAAGTTTAGAACCCTTCATCATTATGGAGGTCAGAGGACTTCATATCTGGCAATTATGTTAAACCTTCATCAGAGTGCTTTCTAAATCTGGTGTACATTCACCTGTGACCAGTACTTCCCAAAGTCAGCTCTCTCAGTCTTTAGTTGTTTTAACATATGAGAGAAAAAGGAAAGGCAGTTTTATATCTCATATAACATGAGTTCTGGTAATGAAAAACAAAGAAGTAGCATTCTTGTGTCTTCATTATTGCTCATCAGTATTTATCAGGTGGTACTGAGGTGTCATTAAACCAAACTGCATTTGTAGGTAAGAGCCAAAATGGCAAACACATTCTGATGCTCTTGCCATTGGTTAATGCCTAGCTAACTGTAAAGTGAATATATGACCCTTGCCACTTAATGCTAACAGACTAGAGATTCAGAGAAGACAGAAATGAGTTGGCTAGTTTTTATATCTTCCATTTTTCCAAACTTGGATTTCCCATCAGTAAGCCTGTACCACCAGGATAGCAGTGAAAATAATAACACCAATTAATTAAATGTCTGTATTTTAGTCCCAAGATTGTTTTCAAGCATTATAAACTAAAAGAATGTGGGCTGAGCAGTTTGTAACTTGACAGCAGTGTCAGGAAATGGCAATGCAGCCTTGACTATTGTCCCCTTCATTATTTGTTAATATATATCAAGATTAACATAGTATTTCTTTTCACCTTTAAGAATTATGCATTATGGTAGGAAGATAGTTAAGAGGGGTGTTTGTCTCATGGTGTTATAGTTAAAGGTAGTGACAAAGAACGGAGTATGACATGAGTGATGCACCTGCATCAGCGCTGTAATTGACATCAGTTTTGTAATTTTGCACAAACTGGATACAAACGGTTATAATAAAACAAGATGCACTTTCTTTACAAGGCTGTAGCTGCTGACAACAGTGATCATGAAGAATAAACATGTGATGCAATTAGGAGTGGACAAAGTGATTCACTTCTTGTCTCAACTGAATCAACATTTAACTGTTATCAAACCGCTGGGATTTAGACATATTCAAAATTTAATTAGTTATTGTTGAAAGCATACCTAATGATTACAGAATCCTATATTCATTCATCTTCTTAATTCATTATTTTATCACATTTCCAGTCACCTCACGCTGATGGAAGTTAAATTTAACATGGCATGAGTTTCTTCTTACTGTTAGTGACAACTATATTGTCTGTGTGAACTTCTTCCTGCTTCTCTTTCTATTAAAAAAGTAAACTGGATAATGGAGACAAAATCACCAGACCAAATTTTTTTCTTTAAAATTTTGAGCATTGAGAATTTAACCCGGGTCTTCTGCCAGTTTTCTGCCACCGAGCCATACCTAGCTCTGGACTCAACTTCTGCTCGAGTGTTTGGGCCTGCTTTTCACCTCATGGTGCCATATTGGAGAGATGAGATAGCCAGAGAATAATATGGAGGACACCATTTCTTTTGAACTTGGGTCAGATTTAGTGATTTAGAGGCTGACTTGGATTTAATGCAAAAGTTAGGTTATAACCAATTCCCAATAGAATCATACACTTTGTCATAGTGTTGCAAGTTTGTGTTCCACGTTTTTCTAGAAACTGAGAACATAATAAATGACTAGGACAAATAATTTTCTGGAAATTATCCAACTGGTTGGGGGGAAAGACCAAAGTCTGGGGAAGAGAGCATTCTGAACTCATGCGCTATTGGGAGATTTGTGGCATTGTGGAAGGGAAGAATAGGTACAGAGCTATCTCCATATCTGCTTTGTGTGCGCACTTTGGGAGCAAAGTCTCCTTCCTCTATAGCTGTGTTTAATCACTGAAGGGCAAAGACACCCAAACAATAAATGAATAAAAAAAAAGAGATGCACTGCATAAGACCAGAGGAATTGATGACTTTAAGATTAACGGCAATGTCCTCTTCTTGTAAATCAACAAGATATTCTCTGAACAAATAGCCCTCATTTGGAGGGCTGGTGTCAAAGAAGAATCCTTAGATACTCGTTGATAAACAGTTTTTCTCTCACTGTGATTTTACCTTTGTGCCATAAAAGCCATAGCTCTCTGGTGAGAAATTTAGGAGGATTCTACCCATCTGTGTAGGAAGTTTTTTAGGTATTGTATTATACCACAGTGTAAACTACTAAGCAAATATTAGAAGCAGAGGCCAGGACAGGGAAAATAAATGCACACACACAGTATAAGTGGATGATGGTCCCACAACTTTGTCAAGTCAGCTAGAACTGAAGATGTCACTTTTCCATGACTTGGACCACCTGAGTTCCCTCCCCACCCAAATGGTGGGGCACTCGTGTTTAAACAATGACCTGGCATATTAGGGTTTAAAATAGGGTTTGCACATCACAGATAAAGACAGGAAGAATTCCTCCTACAGAGAGCTGGACAAATAGAATGGGAGCAAATGTAAACTTCTTTTAATGAAATCTTTCATAAGATTTAAAAACATCTTTCATATGCTGATTCATGTTTTTATTGAGGACAAGACAAAATGAAGGACAGCCCGGAAGTGTGCTGGTCAAGTATAAAATTTGATCAGTAAATAGCCTTGCCTTTCAAGCAAGGAAGAATGAGAAAGCAATCATCTCTCAGCTGGCCCACAGGTTTCCCCTGGACTCTTGTCTCCTCACCCTTTTTCTTCTCTTTCTTCATCTTCTAATATTTTTCTGCAGCACTGGTCAACTATGCTCTGAGTGTCTCCATTTTATTTTATGGCAGGGTTGGAATTTGAACTCAGGACCTTGCACTTGCTCAAGTGCTCTACCATTTGAGCCATGCTGCAGCCCTTTGGCTTCAGTTATTTGATTTTTTCACATGGGTTTTCATGCTGTTTTTGTTCCAGGCTGGCCTTGGAACCAGATCCTTCTATCTCCACCTCCCAAGTAGATGGAATTGCAGACACGCGATATCATGTCCAATGTTTTGTTGAGATGGATCTCACTTGCTTTTCCCCTGGCCAGCCTCGAAGCACAGTTCTCCTGGTTTCTGCCTCCCAAGTAGCTGGGTGTAAAGTCATGACCAACACCACACCACACCCAGCTCTCTATTTTATATATGTAGAAATTGTGACGGAGTAAAGAACTTTTTCAAGATTATACAGCAAGTTAGTGGTAAGACCCTGATTCCAGCCCAGATGTCTTGTTTCAGAGTTTATGCTCTTCACTTCTTACTGTGGAAATATCTGGTAGCCTCTTTAAGTTTAATTAAATGCTTAACAAAATCTGGGGTTTTATTTTGGCGGCACTGGAGGTTAAATCAGGAGTTCATGCTTATGAGGCAAGCATGCTACCACTTGAGCCACACTCCCAGCTAACAAAAACCTTCCAAAATCTATGGTGACATCTGAAAGATTTTTATCTGTAATACAAGTATGTCTTCATCATATTTAAATTCTTGTTTTTAATCATCCCCTTCTTCCTAAATAGGAGGGTTGTAATTTATTATTTTTTAAAATCTGTTATTTTAATTCTTCTGTTTACATAAATTTTGATATAAATATCAAAAGAATAAATTATCCCAGTATGTCTAGTAAAGTGATACATTACATTGGGGCTCAGAGTTAAAAGATAAGATTGTTAGTAGTATCTTTTACTGTTTTTTCTTTCGTTCCTCCTTATTTTTATTCATTTATTCACACGTGCATACATTGTTTGGGCCATTTCCCTCCCCTGCCCCCTGCCTTCTCGCTTCCAGGCAGAACCTGTTCTGCCCTTATCTCTAATTTTGTTGAAGAGAAGACATAAGCATAAAAAGGAAGACAAAGCATTTTGCTAGTTGAGGTAAGGACAGCTATAAAGAGAG